ACCTAGTTTTGGCTTGATGCAGCTGAGATAAGGGCCAGAACAATTAATTCTGCAGTATGAAATGAGAAAAAGCTCTTTATATAAATGTCATGCAACCAGATACTATACACGAAGTTGGATTAGTACAGCAATGACAACTATGGTTTCTGGAAGCTGTGAACTACTAGGTCACTACAGGAAAACAAAAAACACGTGAGAGGAAAAAGCACAATATTGATTGAGTGGCTAATGATGTTGAGTGCTGACCATCATCTGCTGATGCTATATTGAACGTATCTGAGAGACGGATTGTAAAAGTTCTCCCAAGCCAGGGTGCTGCAATGCCTCAAGCATCCCATATCTTCTTGTACTACGAGCAGCACTGATGATTTCACTGTAGGTAGTCTGCATTTAACAAATGTTTTAAGTCTAATCAGGACACTGAGCATCCTAGGAATTGCAAAATAAAATTACAAATAAAAAAAAAAAAAAAAGAAGATGGAGCCAGACTCTTCTAGTGGTCCCCAGTGAAAGGACATGAGGCAACAGGCACAAACTGCAATACAGGAAATTTTACTTAAATAAAAAGAAAGAACTTCTTTACTGTGAGGGTGGTCAAACATGGCAACAGGTTGCCTAGAGAGGCTGTGGAGTCACCATCCTTGGAGATGTTCAAAGCCCGAGTGAACATGGCCCTGAGCAACCTGCTCTACTCGACCCCACTTTTGAGGAGGGGTTTGGACTAGACAATCTCTAGAGATCCCTTGCAGCCTCAGCTCTTCTGTGATCCTGTGAAACTGAAAAGATCGACTACTCTTGTTTAAAGCCCAAGCTTAGTATCATTTGGGTACGCTGCAACAAAACATGATTTTTCAGATTATCGATGTGTCATCTGTGCATACCAAACAGTGGCAGGAACCTGTCTTCAGAACTCTACACTGATGCATCTCTTTGCCCTAAAACAAGAACCCAGCGCATACGATCTTCTGTAACATGTATATGTAAAAACTAAAAGCTGAGGGAGGTTCAGAGGAGTAAGATATCTCCTACAGAGCAGAATGCATCTCTTGCCTGCCTGCCTGCCTGCCTGCCTGCCTTCCTTTCTCCCTCCCTCCCTCCTTGGCAGTGCATGTTACTGGTAGCTCAGGTATATGTGGATGGCCTTACTTTTTTATGGGACTATGTATCAAAATTAATAGAAGTCAGCTCTCATTAACCCATAGCTTTCTATCTTCTCCAAACGATGACTGTACAGAGCTGCTCTGCTCTTTTGTGCTGGCTTTGCAGCTGTCATCTCATCGAATCCAGAGGTTTCCCCTGCCCGCCTAGCCGCTGAAGAAAGGCAGACGCCTGAGCCAGTTAAATCCACAAGAAAGGCTATGAGGACGGTAGAAGCTGGGTTTGTCAAGAGAAAACTCATGCAGTTTTGTCCTTTCAGTTAGATATGCCCTGGACTTGAAACTATTACCAGGAATTTTGCAGTGCCAGGAAAGGAGAGTGGAGAAAAAACAATGCTGGTGGGTGTGTGCAGGTGAAAACTTAAAAACTGGTTTCTGCAAATTGATGGTGGATTACGATTTACTTCAGCAGATTTTAAAGAAGGAACCATAAAAATCAACACAGCTAAATCTGAGGCATCTAGAGCTTGTAAAGCTTGTAAAGAATATTCTTAAAAACTCATTTGTTATGGATGCTTACAAATAACTTGTATTTCCAATGGAATTTTTTAAATGAAGGGTTTTTTCCCCTCAGTTTTTAAGTGTGGCTAGGAAACAAGCTGGAGTTCTGGGGATGGGGAGCAAAATGGGGTGCGTAGGGCAGGAAGATAAGAGATGATCAAGGGAGTCACTTCTGCCGCTATCTGGACAGAGGACAAGGTTTTCTTTTAAACACCTTTTCACTGGGCAGCTTTCACATGTTTATTTTTGATTGTTGCTGTATCTTTCTCTCATCAAGCAGTTGGAAAAATGATGCATGTCTAATCCTCGTAGTTACTGAAATATAATCATATGCTAGTTAAGCAAACCATCTCGTTCAGGATGAAAACTGTGTAACGGATAAAACACAGAGCTGATGAAGAATATCAGTATCATGTAACATTTCTCACTGAAAAATAATGAAATGTGAATGTTGCAGAAAAACATTAAAGCATTGGCTTTAAGCCAAAGTATGAGAAAAAGTAGAAAACACTTGCAATATTCAAAATAAGGTGGTTCTGATGCTTACAAACTTAAAAGTGCCTTTTCTGTCCAAAATTATATATTTCTTAGTAGTAAAAATGCAAAAATGAAATGGGGTTGTACAAAATTGTTGAACTATTATGACTGACCTGGACCAAAAAATTTATATTGATAAACAAGAGAGACTTGTGACTTTGTTCCTGTATTTGACAAAGCTCACTTATGCTAACACCAACAAAAACTTGACCCAAAAGAATCAGTTCAGGGCCCAGTCCCACTCTGAAGTCAATGTCAGCTCTGGTGGGAATTCAAGAGCAGGACTGAGTGCAAATTGAACATGTAGGTGACAATATTTTGTCTATGCAAGCTTAGAATAAAAAGTTTACGTGAATTGTGCATTTTTCCTAAAAAAAAAAAAAAAAAGAATGAACTCAATAATGACTCACCATTTTTTATTACATTTAATTTTTACTGGCGGACAAGGGAGACCTCATCCTAATTTTGAAATACTCGTATTTTTAAAAGTTACAGGCACTATTTTTCCCACACTGTTACATTTGCCCTTCCAACTATAGACAGAGGGGCAGAATTTATATGTAATGGTCTGGAAATCTCTCTACAGCATCTAAAAATAGCCTTTCAGTTTATGAGAATTTTGCAATGATAAACTACATCTTGTAGTTTGTTAAGATGGGAGCGTTGAGTATGACTGGAGGGAAGGAATTCCCAGATCTCCACACATTAAGTAAATTTGTTGCTGTTTCTAATACTTAATAGGAAAGCATTTCGTACTCTCATCATTAGCCCAGAGCTCAGTATTGCTGTCTTGAGACTTGGATGAGACTAACTTTGAGAACACTTCATGCTGAGGTAGAAGAAGAAAGTATTTCTTAGCAGGAATCTTTCATCAGTTTTTGTATCATGGCAATGTGGGATATGAGCAAGCAAAGCAGCAGTCTAGTGAGAAGTGAAGATAAAAACGGAATGTATACTTGCAGCAGCCTTGGAAATACTTAAGACTCAAATCTCTACTTGTAGTTGATAGTAGTTTAACATATAAGGGGAAGGAAAAGTGGTGTTAACAGCAGAAAAAAAGAAGGAATGAGGAACAAGAGACAATCTTGTCATGAGTACAGAAGGCTTTACCTTGTTTGAAAATCCTCACGTTCAGTAGCGTTTAATTTATTTCGTATAAACCAAACACTTCTTTTTTTGATTTAAATACTTGCAGAGCTACCAGTACATTAATCTTTGACTGAAGATAACATACAGTCCTTTTAAAGGACTTTTCATCACTACCTTTTGAGAACATTTTACAAGAAGATCTCAGGAGACCCAGTCCATGGCTCTGTATCTCCTTCTTGTAAACACTTTCGCATCTGCTCGTTCATACCAAGACAGACAGCTGTTTCTTTGCAAATACTGTTCCTGATTTATATGCACACAGGCCTGACCCCTTGCAAAGCTAATAATCAAATGAGTGCAGAATCCTAACGAGTGGTATTTTCCCCCAGCGCCTCTCCCCGCGGGGGAGCTCCTTGGCAGGGTAAGGCAGGGGTGTCCTGTGGCAGTTGGCAGAAGGGGAAGTAAGGGGAGTGTGACCCGAGCACAAAGCTGCGGTGTTTGCAAAGCACGTACTGTTTTCTTGTTGTCTCAGGGTTTTTGGCCAGCGATCGAGTTCAAGGATGGAGAGATGTGTTAATAATTAAGGCAAATAACTACACTTGATAATCGTATTTTAAATGAGGGGATCACTTCACGTACGGAATTTTGTGCAGTGATTGAATTACAACGTATCACTTATTTTAAACTCCGCTTCTGGGTAACTGAGTTCACGAACTTGGCTACCGATCTCTGCCACAGGCTGTGACTTCAGACAGAGAGGAGCCAGCGCTCCCGAAACCCAACAGCTCGCCTGCGCGCAATTTTGAGTGGAAGCCTGCAGGAAAGCACTGTGCTGTGCGCAATGTTGACCCACAAAAAAAAAAAAAAAAAAAAAAGAGGACAGGGAAAAACCCCCACCCCCAAAAGGAGGCACAAC